GATACCTCCCAATTTTGTTTGTACATCAAAGGGTTGAGTCACCACTTTCAACCAAATTATTGAAACAATTATGACTTGAATATGTCCCCGAATCAGGCTAGAAATCAGACCTTGAAGGTATATCCCAAGGTATTGCATAATATGCACATAAAAATTATTCCACAGTGTGCAGTTCATATGATATTAAATGTGTGTGCGTGGTAGTAGTACTTTCTAGTATGTGTACGTCTATCGGTGTGATTGTCAAGTTATTTACACATTCTCAGCTTCTGTCATTTTCAGCTCAGCCACATTCTCAGCTACTTATGGCTGTGGCTGGTAACACATTTCAATGTCTAGTCTTATCGTTGAGTTAGTAACTCTGAGGTTTTAGCTTTATCTTTTGACAGGCAAAAACTCTGATAGATCCTTTAGCATGCGTTACACTTACTACCCTTTTTGTTTTTGCACTTGTCACATACACCAGAACATAGACATGGTAAAGTGAAGAAATCTCCTTCTTCGTCTATGCACAGCGATTTGTTGCATTCTCGACACGTTTTACATGAGAAAAGTAGTTTACCTTTTTGCTCTTTGCAACATAAAATTATATGGCTGGTCATTATCACGGTGATAATGTTTGTGAAAATTTCTCTTCTACAAATTTTTTGCTGGGTATGACAAAATTAAATTACAATATTTGTTTTTTTTTTTTTTTTTTTTTGAAATAAAAAAACTAAAGGAAATTGTTACAACATCTTTTAGTTTAAATATTTAATTTTGGTCTTAGTTCTAAGGAACATTCCTGGTTTCCTTTTTGGTGAAGTACTGGAAAGTTTTCTGCAGCATTCCTTTGCCTTGTCGCATTTGAAACTTGCTTCCTTTATTTGTGTCTGTGTCTGCTGGGTTGTTGTTGCAAAAACTTTATTTTGCCATTTGTAAAATCTACTTAAGTCTATTTAAGTTGACTTTCATATATAATTTTTAGTTAACTTTAATGTTTGTGGCTCGTAATCTGAACATATCGCAATATTCCATTCGGCAAAAATTTAAAAATGAACTCGGGGTAAAGTCATTAAAATTCAAAAAAGTGCTAGAACTTACACCGCAACAGAAAAAAAAAATAGACTCAAAAGAGCTAAAGACTTGCTTCGCTTCGAAAGTGGTGAACTGCCGAATTTGGTTTTCTCCGATGAGAAAACATTCGTTGTCCAGCAGTTTGTAAACAAACAAAATGATCGTGTTTACTTGCCAAAGAGGTCAGCTGAAAGTGTGCACCTTGGTTGGCCACCAGAACTCAAGCGCCGACCATGGTGATGGTGTGGGCCGCCATAAAGCCGATGGTCGCTCTCCGCTCGTATTAATTCTGATGAATGCCGAATGATATCGCGAAAATATTTTGGAGGGTGTATTAAAGCCTTGGGCAGGCAAACATTTTGGCCGCAGACCTTAGACATTCCAATAGGACTCAGCACCATCGCACTCAGCACGCGCCACCCAAGAATAATTACAAAGTACATTGGCCCCTAAAATCTCCGGATACAAATGCGTTGGACTATTGTGTCTGGAGTATTTTGGAAAACAAGGTTGGCATTAAAAGATACCAAAGTGTCGAACACTTTAAGCAAGCGATTCGCTGGGAATGTGCCAACAACAACATTCGGGCAGCGTGTGACGGTTTCATTTGCCATTTAAAGGCCATAATTCGTGCCAAAGGTGACCAATTCGAAGAAATCTAAACTCATACTAAAATTGGATGCTATTTCCGACATTTCTTGCTTTCAAATTAAAAAAAAAAATGAAAAAGTTATGGCGTTAGACTTTGTTGCAGCATTAGACTTTATCTCAACCGGTATATATAAAAGAGTAGTGAAATAACTGAATGTACTGACTCGTACGAAAAGTACTAAATGGTACTAAAAATGCTATTGGGTGATGGAATAGGGCAGGAATATTCAAATTTGATTTGAGATCACTGTTGGTGTCTGTGGTTAGGATATGGAGGTGGTTTTGGAAATGCGTCCTATATTTGTACGAATAGTACAAAATGGTACTAAATTTGCTATTGGGTAAATGGATAAGGCAGGAATCCTAAATTTGATACTGATTTCTCTCTTGGTATGGAGGTGGTTTTAGCAATGTGTCCTATAGGAAAAGTACTAAATGGTACTAAATTTGGTATTTGTTAATATCTATAATTAAGATATGTAAGTGGTTTTGGAAATGTATAATATAATTGTACGAAACGTACCAAATAGTACCTAACTTGGTATTGGACAAAAATTTGGTATTGAGCTGAATTTTTATATTGAGGTCTCTGTTGGCATCTGGTGGCGGTTTTATAAATGCATGCTATAATTGTAGAACTGAAATCCTGCAATTTAAAATGTATGTGTCACTGTAGGGCTGGAATTCTAAAATTTGATATTGAGGCCTTGAGATCTGGTGGAGGTTTTATAAATTTATACCATAATTGTTCGAAAAGTACTAAATGGTAAAAATTCGGATCACTGTTGGTTTCAAAAATGGAGAAGTGGATTTTTTGGATATAAGTACAAAAGTAATTAAGCTGAAATTCTAAAATTTAATATTTATCTGAGGTTTAGATTTGGATGTGGAAAATTGGAAAGTTCTTCGAAAATTATCAAATTGTATTGGATTTGCCGCTGAGTGCATGGATAGAGCTTGAGGTCCCTATTAGTATCTGGATTTGAGCTATGGTGGTGGTCTTGGAAAAGTGTTCAATAATAATAATACGAAAAGTACTAAATAGTACTAAATTTGGTATAGGGTGAGGCGATAGAGCTGAAATCTTGAAATTTGATATGGATCTCACTTTTGCGGTCTAGGGTGGATATTCATACTATATGTTACTAAATTTAGTATTGCGTAAAATTATATAGCGGAAATTCTGAAATTTGATATTGAGGTTGCTGTTGGTTTCTAGGGTTCACATACGAAGACAATGAAATAGTTTTGGATCGAAAACTTGGATGCGAGTCTATTGTGCAATGGTTTTACTAAAATCTTCGTCGGTAAACTTCAAAATGAAAGATTTTGAAGATTTTTTCGTGTAAAAGGTAAACTTGAATAATATCTAAAGCCTTAAAAGTCTGAAAATTGGTTGAAGTTTGGATTAAAAAAAAGGTTGTCAATCTACAAATATTGTACACATTGGGTACTAAAGAGGCCTGACATGAACAGTTGGACGAGTTCATGGGTTACTGATAGCCCCTCTTTAAAAAGTTAAGTTTTTGAAATACTGCAATTTCGAAGTCGGCTCTGAAACAAAATTCCTATCTTTCTATGAAACCCCCCTTGGGTTTTTACCTTCCACAATTGAAAAACATCAATTATTAAAATTGTTGTAAAAAAGAAGACTCATTAAGAAGAAGAAGTACAATCGCATAATGAATATTTTTGTAGAACATTTCGTCCTAAAAAATTCAAATTTTTGAATGCTCTTCACCCCTTTTTTGCCCGAAAAAAAAGAAAGGCAATAAAATATATTTCGGCACCCAAATATTTAACAAAAAAAATCGCTCTGAAAATTCAGTATTTGGTCCTCAAAGACAACTCATTGTGAAATAACCTTTCTTCAGTTAAATGCCCTTTTCGTCCTTCTTTTGAACCCTTACAAAAAAAGCCGCCAAATAAGATTTATTGCAGAGCAAATATTTCACAAAATTATTACCTATAATATTTTAAATAGGGTCCCCAAGGACGATAGGTCTATAATGCGCCATTTTCATTGACCTTCTGGATTTTTTCAAGATCCTGGCTCACAAATTTAAGACAACTCATTCTAAGATAACGTTTCTTTAATGAAATGTCCTTTTCGTCCTTCTTTTTAACCTTTGCAAAAAATCCGCCAAATAAGATTAATTGCCGCTCAAATATTCCACAAAAATATCACTTTTAAGATTCAAAATAGGGTCAAGACAAGAGGTCGATAATGTACACTTTTCATTGTCCTTCTTGATTTTTTCAAGATCCTACCTCACAAATCTGTATGAATTTGTATTTTTTAATATTTTGTAAAAATCTCTTCACCATGTTAGAAACTTGGGATCCCATGACCATACCCATTGATCGACATCGTCATGCCCAACAGAATATTTTAACTAACTTTTCTTGGCGATGACATCCGGTAATCTGAATTTTTATCAATTTAATCCTTTGAGAAGTAACTTCCTTTTTCTGTCTTTCAACCACATCAACTTTCGAATTTTTTCCTCGTCTTTTTTCCATTTTACACATAACAACAACATTAAAACACAATCTCAACCAAATCGTGTATTCAAAAGTCGGATCATCGTCGGACTTTTATCGATTGTTTACCGCAATTATCATTAAAAGCTGTCAATAAGATAAATGCTGATGAACCCTTAATTATATTTAAACAGTTGTCCACTTCTGACAGCCTGGGTGACACATTGACACAATCAAGAAAATTTAATTCAACATTTATTTTTTAATGTCTTAAAAGGGCAGCTGTGTGTGAGGATGCTTGGATGTGTTAAGCAAAAGGTAGAAAAACGTACGCACACAATGATTATAAAATTAATCACCTATCCACCACCCTCAGCTCCTACATCCCGCATTAACATGCATATTTACATAATGTAATTGGCTGTTCTCAGACATTGTAGCCGGGCGAAAAAGGACACTTTACAACATGCAAAGGATAAGCATAGTGATGGCGATGATGATGATGAGGATGCTCTACATGTAGACATAACCTCATTTAACAACACTTTTTGTCACCACCAACAACATCGTCATCATCATCACCGTTATCCTGCTCACTACTTAGGCTTACATTTTCAATGCTTCAGCTCAGACTCCATTACACGCAGATTATCACCTTTTGTGAGTGTGTGTGTGTGGGTGTCCAAGAATAAATTTTAACTCAGAAGCTGTAACAGCACCAACAGCAGCAGCAGTAATTCATTGGTTTTTTGTGTTTTTGTTTTTCTTTCATTTCATGACTGTCTGCCGCCTCCGAACTGTTCGAACAGGTGGCCTGGATGCACTTCGAACAATCGGCCATCTTAACCGTGCACAATCATGTGATAACGCGCAATCCACGCATCAGTGTGACACACGACAAACATGATCGCCATCGCAGCTGGTATTTGCACATCAACAATGTCCAGGAGGAGGACAAAGGACGCTACATGTGCCAGATCAACACGGTGACGGCCAAAACGCAGTTTGGTTATCTCAACGTAGTTGGTAAGTATGGACAATAATAACTAAAGCAAATGGTCAAGGGAGGGCAGTTTTTCGTTGCAAAAAAAGAAAATTCCATTAAATGCCAGCCTTTTTCCCAATACTCCGATTGGGAATTCGTGGTAAGAAATAATCATAAATAAATTAAAAATAAATGTATGCCAGGCAATTCCAATTCCATATACCACCCCACTTTAGCCTTGTCCTTGATAGCTGCATGCATGGCATCCCTTGCAGCCAATCTAACATTAAGTCGCAGAATTTATGCCTCAATGATTTCCCAGTTATTTTACTTTTGATCCAGAGTCAAGTGAGTTTTCGCATGGCCTCTAAGTCTCCAAACAGCAGCTGTTGCCACTGCTTTGGGGAAAGCAAATATCTCAGTTCAATTGAACTGAGAAAGTCGAAAAAAAAGGAAAATCACTGTTTGCATTCCTCTGCTTGTTTATATCCTTGAGGCTTCTACGAAATGCGTTAGGAAAAACCCCGTGTATTTTTTTAAACACAAAAATAGGAGGAATAATGTCACTTGAGAGTTGCGCAGAAAAAAACTCACATAAATATTCAATTTAATTATTTTTTTCTGCTTCTTCTTCTTCTCATAATAAATCAAGACTGGGTTATATTTTGTTTATTTTTTGCATGCAATTATTTCTGTGATTTGTGTGGGTGTTTGGCTGTAGGTTCTCTGAAGCATTAAAAATAACAATAAGTATTGGGAAAATAATATTGGTAAATACAATTAGAACCCCCCTTAAATAATTAATCTCTTCAAGGAATTGAAGCTCAATGGGAAGGAGAAGAAGATACCTTTGGAAGTAATAACTTGAAAGAGAGGGTTCAAAAGGACATGTTCATTGTCATTTTTGCTGGAGACTCAACAAGTGGCCATGCAGGAAACTGGGGACCGAGAAGGGAAAAATGGTTACATCTCTTTTATATACTTTCACCCTAATGACTACTGATCATTTGACGTGGTACATTATAAGGTAGGTTTTATTATTTTTGCCGAACTTATATTGAGTTTGAAGATGGACAACAGGGCCGCTCCCTCTAGTACCTCCCCCAAACTAGTTCAAAATTTGACTAACAATAAAAAATCTCATAACAAGCGAGAGGAGCACATGACAAAGTTCAAACTTGCCCACCGTAAAATTCAGATAAGCCCTTTGTCTGGTGAAAAAATTTACAATATTGACCCAACCTCACAAAAGGTCGACATTTTGATGTGGGTAATCAATTTACGATTTTCTCCATTTTTCCACGAAAATCTGAAAATTGATTATATCGAACCATTTTTTCTCATACCTCTCTCTGAAAAAAAGCTAGAAAATTTTGAAAAACATTCCTAAGCATATCTCATAAAAAACGAATCAAGTACCCGATTTAGTTTAAAAGTGGTGCGTGATAATATTTATATCACACTTAGGTCTGTAACGATCATGAAAAACATTAACCCACTGCTTGTCGTACCTCCCTCCTAAAAGGTAACATTTTTAAATGCGAATAATTCACATTTAATTTGAAATTATTTTCTTTTGCCCGAATAAGGCACCATTAGTTCTCGCATGAAGATATATGGGTCCATTCCTTCTGGTACATCTCCCACAATGGACCAACATATTATACTCCAAAGAGGTTATCTCTCACAGAGTCTCAAAATGCAAAAATTTGGTGAAATTTAAACAAGTAAAAAAGCAGTACGTTCAGCCCGGTCGAACTTTGAATACTCTGCTCCATTCAGAAGAAAGTCCGTTGAAAAATTCCTCCAAAAATCATAAAAATACCGAATATAGGGATTTGGGTTATATGATAACATGGACCTGCATAGGCAATTTTCTGTCATAGGCCGCCTTACACAATAGGAACATCATATTCGAAATATGAAACAATGTCGAAAAATAATGTGGCTAAAATTATCAAAATTCCGAATATAGGGAAATACGAAATTTGAAACAATTCCTATGGATAATGTAATCATGTAATAATCATCAAAAAACCGAATATAGGGAGGTACTATTATATAGGGCTTATAGCAAAACTTAGACCTATATCGCCTCAACTCAATTTACAGCAAATTCGTGTTCAAATTATGACTAAAACACCTCAAAAACTTTAAATCTGTCCGTATAGTTGTATAGGACCCATGCCTAAAAGTAGGGTGAAATAAAAAAAACTTCAACATAGTCAAACGCCATAATTTTTACATCTTTTTTATTAAATTTTAATGAATGAAAGCAAAAAAAATGGCAGAAATAAAATCAAATTTTAGAATAAGTTTAGATTTGTTCAAATTGGTCACCTTTGGCACGAATTATGGCCTTCAAACGGCCAATGAAACCGTCACACGCTGTCTAAATGTTGCTCTGCGGTATTTTGGCCCATTCCCGGCAAAGCGCTTGTTTGAGGTGATCGACACTTTTTTCAGTGCCAACCTTTCCAAAATACCCCAGACACAATAGTCTAACAGATTGGAATATTTGGTGGCCATTGTGCGCTGGAAGTGAAGCGAGGAACCTCATTTTGCAACCATTCTTGGGTGGCGCGTGCTAAGTGCGATGGTGCTGAGTTCTGTTGGAATGTTCAAGGTCTGCGGCCAACATGTTTGCGTGTCCAAGGCTTTAACATAACCTCCAGAATATTTTTGCGATAATATTTGGCATTTATTCTGATTCCATGGTCGATTAATATGAGCGGAGAGAGACCATCGGCTGTTATGATTTGAGTTCTGGTGGCCAACCGAAGGTGCACATTTTAAGCTGACCTCTTTGGCAAGTAAACACATTCATTTTGTTTGTTTACAAACTGCTGGACAACGAATGTTTTCTCATCGGAGACAGAGAAAACCAAATTCGGCAGTTCACCACTTTCGACAAAGCAAAAAAAATCCTTAGCTCTTTTAAAAATATTTTCTTTCCGTTGCGGTGTAAGTTCTTGCACCTTTTGGAATTTCAATGGTTTTACTCCGAGGTCATTCTTCAATATTTGCCGAATGGAATATTGCGATATGTTCAGCTCACGAGCCATTTTTCCCACCAAAATGCTTTTGTAAGAAGTATTGACTCTTTGAGGTATTAATATAGGAAAGACCCTAACAAATATTGACCTAAAACATTCTAAAGGTAAAAAAAATCCATGTATATAGCCAACATTATAGGCCTTACATTCCTGAAAAGATTTACTCATTCAGACCTGATAGTCATTAAAGGAAATACTATTAATAGACCTAGGATCATAATATCGAGGTGGCTGCCTTGAAGGATTAACCCTAACCCTAATAATCTTTAAGGCATCAACGTTTATAGTACTGGAAGTACTCAAAAGATCCACGAATGTAACCATCTTACCTCACATCTAGAGAACCTCCAACGGTCTATCCATGATATTTTTTAATTATCGTGCTGATACTAATTGATTGTTAAAGCCCTGATAGACCAAGGATCATAAATCTGAGTTAGCTGCCTTGAGGGATTCACCCTAACTCTGATAGTCCTCAAGCGATGACCATTATAGTCCTGGAAAATTGACGAATGTAACTTTCTTGCCTTACCACCAGATATCCTCCAACGGTCTATTCATGATAGTTCTTAGAGGACCAAAAATGATCGGCCCGGCAGTCCATGTTTGCAGTTATGATTGTCTATAAAGCATTCACAATCATCGCCCTGATAGTCGTTAAGGGATCCATATTTGTAGACCGAATTTTCTATAAAGGATCCACAATTAACGTCCTGACAGTCCTTAATGGAAAATTGTTTAAGTTCTGATGGTGATTAACAATTATAGTCCTGTTTTGAAAATTAAATGATCCTCGTTCTAATAGTCTTAAAAGGACTCAGAATAAAGACCATTATGGACCCTAAAGGTCCATAATATTAGCTTTTATAGTCCGTAAAAGTCCTTAAAGAATCTTAAATATAGAATTCTGATAAATCTGACTTGGTCCACAATTTTTCCCCGACAGTCCTTAAAGGATCAACAATTTTAAATCTATAAACCTTTAAAAAAATAATGATTATATCCTATTATTTTAATTAAAAACATTTTTTAATCCTATTCCTTCAACTTTCACGAAAGTAGTCCTGATAGTCCTTTGGTAATGGTTTTAAGTCGCAAAAATACTCTAAAACACATGTCTTTTAAATGTCAAAAAAAAAATTTTCTTCAACAACCTAAGAAGGATTGGAAAAACCCAGATACCCCCAGTTTTTTTTTTTTTTTTTTTTTTTTTTTGGTCTGCTCAGATATCGATCTCAGCTAAATTTTCCGACCCCTGCTAATAGTCCTCACTTTACCAAAGTTTTAGCCACTTTATTTGGTAGACTTATTAAGAAAAGCCCAAAGTTTTAGGCTCATCCGAAATTGATAACCATTTTTATGCTGATTAAACAAATTGTTATATTTTCACTTACTTGACCACAAATTTGTAGAAAATTTAAAAAATCGACGGCATCATTTTCTATCCTAAACCAGACATAGAATAAACGTCCATTAAAAATAATTTTATATAACGGCTCTCAATGACTAAGGAAAAAACTCAATCCACACTGGCCTGGCTGAGACTATTTCTCTTGGACAACTATTTCCCCCGAGATTTGAAAATTTTTTATTGCAAACCACTTTTTCATCGACTGATGACTTTTTCAATGGAAAACAAGTGAGCAAAGGCTACAGTCGAGCGGGGCCGACCGTTGAATACCCTACAACACTACAATAAACGATACAGTTTATATAGGCGAGATACTCAAAAGAATTCCACAAGATATTGTGACAAATAATAAAAGAAAACCATCAGGTTTCGTTATCTAATTTTCGAATAATAGCAACTTGAGCTAATTTGCTCATTTCCAATTTATTGGTAGATGTTGCACGTAAATGGTCTTCCTGGATCTGGAACCAATATTTCCCAAAGACCTATAATCTCTCAGAAGTGGCAAAAGATTAAAATTTATTATTGGTTTTTGACTGAAACGCATCTATATGAGATACAGACATTTGACTATATTCTTCAACGAAATCATCGTTAACGAAATAGTCAGAAGTGCGTCTTTCCTGTATTTGTGAATTCTCCAAAAAGTCACTGGAATGGACATTTTCGTATTTTGTCTACAAAAGTTGGCAAACTCCTTCACACATTGAATATTTTTGGATGACCATCCAAAACTGCTTGGCGTTTGCAATGTCCGGTAACCCCCATTCAAATGTGCGTGAGGATCGGGCGATAATTACGACCTGCCGACAATTTGGCAGTTTTTTGGTCTATTTCAACCATATATGGCGATCTTCTCCAAAAAGAGTAGGCTTCTATTCTGACCCTCATCTTATCCCCATGCAAAATTTCGTAAGGATCGGGCCATAAATGCGATCTGTATATGATATCCTGATATCCTAACTACTTAGTTTTGTTAGCTGTAGAAATATTAACAAATGTTTAATTCAAAATGAAAATATGCCAAAAATATGACAAAATTGAAAAAATATGAGAAAATTTTAGAAAATCAATATTTTCATCTTTAAAAAGATATTTTTATGCAATTTTTAGACGTTTTTTCTTTCCTGCCAAGAGGCCATTCTGAATTAATGAGAACTGTCGAAATCAGTTCAGCCGTTCTCGACATATAAGAGATCTTTCAAGCATATCTTCTTTGATAGACATATATATCGCACATATTTTGCTATATATTCGAATTGTTGGATCTTAACATTAATGTAAAGATCAGAAGTAACCTTGTCATGGCTTTGTGATTTCGCCGGGATTTAAAATATTCGCGGTTTAATGAAAAATTGTGAGTTTTTTCAACAAAAAAGATATGGTCTATTTTACCCGCTAAATATTATCCGATGACCACCCAAATTGGTAGCTAGCTACATGCGAAATTCCGCGTCGATTGGTCTATAATTGCGACCTGTATAGCTACTGCAAAATCCGACATTTTTTCAGTATTTGGTCCATTTCAACCCCTAAACATTTGGCGATCATCTCCAAAAGAAATAGGGTTCTATTCTGACATTAACCCGACCTACATTTTAAATTTCGTGAAGATCGGGCCATAATTGCGACCTGTAGAGTGATTACAAATTAACATGGACAGACGGACAGACGGACAGACGGACGGACGGACATACATAGCTAGATCGACTCAGCTCGACGAGCTAGGAAGATCCATATATACTTTCCTATATGGGAAACCAATATTTCGAGGTGTTACATAAATTCTGGCCCAATCAAACTTATAATACCCCCAACACATAGTGTTGTAGGGTATAAAAACACCTTTTTCTGCCGAATCATTCTAAATATTAATGTAAATTTTTCTTCATTAATTTAGACTCCAATTTCTCATTTAATTTCCCGGATTTTCAAACTTTACTCTAAAAAGGAGGTAAAGCTGGCAATCATGGAGAAATTGCCTTTTATTTGTATATATATGTCATAGGCATTAAGTCCCATATCTGATCTTAACAAATAACACCCCTGCGCTTGAAGTGTCGATATCCAAAATAAATGCCCAAAGTTATGAAACGAAATATATCCCTTCCTCTTCTTAAATATATCAGAATAATTCGTTTTGATTTCTTCCTATAAAAAAGCAATAAATCCATATTCCTCCCATAACAATTTTAAATTCCACCAGGTTTCATTCGAACCACAAAACTAACCGCTTTGATAAGACCAATTATGATTTGCATTTTTTTCTTCTTAAATAACCAAACAAATTGTTTATGAAAAAAGTTTTAAAAAAAAAGGCACCATGCCACTTCGTCTCCACACCATCCCTCCTCCCCGCAATTCATCACCGTATGGCAACCATCAAGAAAATGAAAGCGAAATTAAAAACTGCGTTGATTTAATTTTAAAAGTGTCATCATGAAATAACTTTTAGATGGACACCGAACAGAAAACCTAAGACGGCTCCATCAGACACACACACCACGTCACACATACACACACACACACACACACCTATAACTATACAAAAGATTTTGTAGCAAATATATTAAGCAGCATAAAGAAGAAGAAGAAGAAGAAAGAGCTCTTTCCTCAATTTCATTATTTTTACTCGCCATGCCTCGCATAGCCGTCTAAGGCTCGGCACAAAAATTATGATGAGAAAGAAATATTGCAGCGGCAGCATCGAACCACTTTAGAGGCTTTGGGAATTAACGGTGAATGTCACAGTTTTTGACTTTTCTCCCCATTGAACAGACATGAATAGCAACAGCAACGGCAACGACTCGAAGCATGCTTTTCCAAAAACACCAACAACACCACAGAAAGTTCTGCTTCGTTGCGGACGTAAGCCTTAGAAAAGCGTGTCTGTGTCGCCGAGTGCCAGCCTTATTAAAAACAAACAAATAGAGCCATAATAACACAACATTATGGCTTAAAGAGTGTACCGAATACAACTTGAAGTAGTAGTGGTAGCAGTAGTGGTACAAGAAAAAGGAGAAGATGAGACGAAGAAGTAGATGAAAAAATCCTAAGACATAAACCTCATCAGTAGTCAGTACCCAGTCATCAACGGTCAGGACACAACATCATCTTCATCAAAACTCATCATCATTATGATACCCATCAGCGACAGTTGGAAAGTCATCAGTGGGAGGGAGTTGGACAGAAGACAGTGGGAGATATTTTGGGTAATGGTTTTCTTTTTAAGGGTCATTTGCTGGTTTTGTCTGAGAAGGTCATAAACTTGTTTCTGAAAAGCTCAACTAATGCTCGTTTATAGGCACGGCCTTCAACTCGACTTTAACCCGTCTACAGACATGGCCTTCATCTCGACTGAAGCTCGTCTATAGACATGACCTTCAGCTCGACTGAAGCTCGTCTATAGACATGACCTTCAGCTCGACTGAAGCTCGTCTATAGACATGACCTTCAGCTCGACTGAAGCTCGTCTATAGACATGACCTTCAGCTCGACTGAAGCTCGTCTATAGACATGACCTTCAGCTCGACTGAAGCTCGTCTATAGACATGACCTTCAGCTCGACTGAAGCTCGTCTATAGACATGACCTTCAGCTCGACTGAAGCTCGTCTATAGACATGACCTTCAGCTCGACTGAAGCTCGTCTATAGACATGACCTTCAGCTCGACTGAAGCTCGTCTATAGACATGACCTTCAGCTCGACTGAAGCTCGTCTATAGACATGACCTTCAGCTCGACTGAAGCTCGTCTATAGACATGACCTTCAGCTCGACTGAAGCTCGTCTATAGACATGGCTTTTAGCTCGTCGATGGAGACTCCCTGGCCTCCAGCTCGTCGATGGAGACTCCCTGGGAGACTCCCTGGGAGACTCCCTGGCCTCCACCTCGTCTTTGGTGACTCACTGGCCTCCAGCTAGCCTATGGTGACTCACTGGCCTCCAGCTAGCCTATGGTGACTCACTGGCCTCCAGCTAGTCTATGGAGACTCCCTGGCCTCCAGCTCATCTATGGAAACTCCCTGGCCTCCAGCTCATCTATGGAGACTCCCTGGCCTCCAGCTCGTCTATGGATACTCCCTGGCCTCCAGCTCGTCTATGGAGACTCCCTGGCCTCCAGCTCTTTTATGGAGACTCACTGCCTTCAAGCTCGTCTAAGTAGTCTCCCTCCAGCCGCTCTATAAAGTCTCCATCCAGCTCCTACATAGAGTCTCCATTCAGATGTAAAATACATTTCTTTTATTTCGTTTTCCCTCTCCCACTGTTCCTTAAACCAAAGTAAACAAATGAATTCCATGCCATCTTCTTCGTTTTCCCGGAAACCTTTTAGAATGACAGCTTCTCACCGGGTATGTCCATCCAGCTAACCTAACGGTAACTTCACTTGATGCCAATGTTATTTATTTAGATTGTTAGCCGAGAAAAGAAAAACTCAACATTCATCAGAGGAGTACATCATCTTATGGCGGGAATAAGTGGCAGCATAACAAGTCAAAAACTCATTTAGCCTCTTGGCCAAATAAATAAACAAGTGTTTCCGAACAAACGACTTTTGCAACAAACTGTTCTACACCACCGCAACATTGCAATTTGAGTTGAGTTGATGATGATGCTGATGGAAGAAAATAAAGCTTAAGGTTCGCCTGGCTACTGTCCCTCAATTATTTGGTATCATGGCACAATTACCACCCCTTCCCGCCAGCCACATGCCATGGCATCACTTCAGTGCCGAAACCCCCGACACAGAGGTAACAACCAGTGTCTCAAGTTTATTTTAAAACTACTTTATTACCTACTTACCAACACTCCGCAGAGAGTGATTGCCAAGTCGAGGAGGCACTCGTTTCAAGAGTCGAACACATACATTCATAGATATATTTTTCTATTAAAGCAACAGCATTCTGCTCACAATTCTGCCATACTTCAGACCACAAGAGTCTAGGGGGTTAAAGCCAAAGCAAGTATCATTGTATGACACTCATTGACCTGGGATTTTTCTGTATTATCCCCGAGAAGGGTTTATCTTTATTAAGTGGGCTAATGACATTTTTGTTTCCTCTTTTGGACAAATTAAGGCTGATGACACCCTTCCTCTGTTTGTGTTTCCATGAACGTTTATTGCATTTCCTTTCTACATAATTTGTCTCTTTTTTTCTTTTTAGTGCCGCCCAACATTGATGACTCGTTGAGTTCAAGTGACGTCATTGTACGGGAAAACTCCAACATATCACTGCGATGTAAAGCGACCGGTAGTCCCAAACCGGTCATCAAATGGAAGAGAGATGACAATTCAAGGATAACAATTAGTAAAAATCACATAGGTAAGTGAAGCAAATATAATATCAGAAGGTAGTCAGTAGAAGTGAAGAGTGAGTCACTGAAGGTTTTGAATTGTATCCTTGAAGTCGCACTTAAATAATTCTTGTCATAAAGAATCCTTTAACCTCTTCGTCTACAAAAACTTTCCCAGATCCTTTTCATTAGGTTTCTTTCAACTATGTACCTATTGAGACGCCCTCTAGTAAGGACCATAAGCTCCTGGTCTATAAATACTTCCCTCAAACCCTCACCTCCATCCAAATCATATAGGCATCATAGAGCTCCTCAAATCGGAAAGCCCCATTAAGCTATCGTCTATATAGCCTTTTTACTTCATCATCTTTTCCCAAGTCCCTTTGTCTAAGACCTCCTTGAGGTCCTCTCCCATAATGTCTTACCTTAAACTACTGGTCTATAATGTCTTTATTCTTCCCCATTCATTCAGCTCCTCATATCTTAAGTCTCTGCCAGGCAGTCGCCTAGAAAGTATAATTTTACTTTGTACCTAGCTCCTCGTCTATAAGGACTTTTAAACCCGGGTATTAAATTAATCTTTCTTCAGCTTCTCGTCCAAAAGGATCTTGTTTAGCTCATGGCCTATAGATCCTCTGCCAACTCTACATTTTTTAGACATTTCACAGTTTCTGAAACCTGAAGTCTATGCTTAGTCATCAAATATGAAGCCTACATTTAACTCCTCTTCTGTTATAACTTTTCCAATCTTCTCTTCACTAAGAGCTTGTTTTAACGAAAGGTCCATTTTGATCTCTTCCAAAGAGGCCATCCTTAAGATGCTGGTCTTTAAAGACTTCCTCATCTCAATAAGCATCATTCAGCTCCACGAATCGATAGTCTACGGTTCATCATCTCTGATTGAGACCTATTTTATCTCCTCTTCTACAAATATTTCCCCCATCCGTCGTCTATAAGGATTCCCTCACTTATATCCTGTTTTCAAGAAAAGTTCCTTAAGACCTCATCTTCGAAATAAACCATCCTTAAGACCCAGGTCTTTAAAGACTTCCTCATTTCAATAAGGATCGTTCAGCTCCACGAATCTAAAGTCTACGGTTCATCATCTCTTGTTAAAACCCATTTTATCTCCTCTTCTCTAAAAATTTTCCCCCGTCCGTCGTCTAGAGGGCTTCCATCAGTTCCTCGCTCTGAGTACATCCTCTTGATACATAAATTTGTCGAATCCGCTTAATACATAGCTTTTTAGCCCCTCCACATTCAACTATCCGTCGAAAAATATCCGCTTCTGTCTAGCCAATATAAAAACTTTCTTTATACGACCCCTTTAGCTCCTCGTGTATTATATAGACTGCGTTTGGCATATCGGTAATGCATATCCTTTCGTTCCTTAAAAAAATATTATCTTATTTTTTTCCAACGAAGAAATCCTGCTCCTCTTCAATAAAACATCCATTTAGCACCTCTCGTCTGTAGACATAGAGTTCATCATCTACATGGTCTCGGCTCAGTGTATATAAACCACATTGAACTCCCTCCTCCTCCTCCTTCTCCTCCTTGTGCAAACGCAATTATGTCCCTCTTCTATTCTTCCTTTGTTTTCATCTCTAAATTTCTATTAACAAAAACATCCTCCAAATATATGTTTATTTAGTCTCCGCTCCGCTACTCGTACCTCCTTTTTAATTTCCATTTATAAATAAACTGTACAACCTCTAGCCTTTGAAATCTACTTAAGCTCCTTACCTCAAAGAACATCATCAACTCTTGACCGAAAAATACTCTCCTATTCTTCTATTAAATATCGCCGATTCACCTTTAAGAACCTCGTTTGGAAAGCCTCCCTTCATTATCCCATTGAAAATTACCCCATTCAATACCTCGACTTTAAACATTTTCTGCAAATGACCGCCAGTTCACTCCTCTGAGTCCCTCGTCTACAAATACTGCCAAAGAGCCTCATCTTAAAATAGTGCCTCTCACTCCGCATGTCCATAAAAAACCCTATTTATCTGCTCGCATATAAAAATGTGCTTTTAGGCTCTCAGTTGACTATTCAGGTTTAGTTCAATTTTTCATCTATGGAGACTCCACTCAACCGATCCTATAAAATACTACTTTAGATTCTCTTCAGTGAGAACTCTCTCAAAATTCTCTTTAAGAATATTCCCCTAAGCCTGTAATAAACCCTCCATCAGTTCCTTAACTATAAAGAATCATTCTGAATATATATATAAAGTCTTTCCTTGCTGGTCAATTTTTGAGAGTGTCTCTCTTCCGTTTTAACCGATAAAGCCCCATACACCTTCCCATCTGAAAATTATCTCTTTAATTTCACGTCTATAGAAACTCTTTTTTTCTCTGGAAAATGTTCCCTCTCCTGTATAAACTTTAAAACTCTACGTTAAAAGCTCCTTTCAGTTTCTGGTTTCTCTTCTGCATCCTCTCTCTAAAAATGTCGTTGGTGTCCCCTGCTTAGAATTATCTTCTGTCCCCTTCGCGAAAAAAAAATATTTTGACTCATTCTCTACATAGACTATAAATTTACATTCAGGTCCCCACCAGTTAAGGTACCTTGTCTCTTCTTCCTCAGCTCGATATAACTATTACCTCTATCACCTCGTAAAGCTCTCTTCTTTGTAAATACTTCACTTTTGCTTATCCTTTTTAAAAGTCATAAAGTTCCATTTTGCTCCACCCCCGGTAAAGACTGATTCTCCACTATTACATCTTACCATATATTTTTCCCTCTAAAATAAGGTGTCTTCCTCCACCATAAATATTCCCTTCGCCCACTTTCTAATAAAAACCTCCCTTTACCTTCCCCCCATAACACCAACAACTAATGATTTCAATTTATTTTTTTTTTTTAATTTCCAGTCAGCGAATGGGAAGGTGATACCCTGGAATTGACGCGTATCTCTCGCTTGGATATGGGCGCCTATTTGTGCATAGCCTCAAATGGGGTGCCACCCACGGTTTCGAAGCGCATCAAAGTTAGTGTGGACTGTAAGTACCAAAAAAAATAAACATAAAAAATATTAGCAAAATTTAATTTAGATTAGAATCCTTCAGACGAAAAATATGATTCTGAAACTCTAGACAAAAAAACAGTTTCAACGAAATCAGTCAAAACTTTAAAAAACAAAACGTAGTGCCGTGTAACTAACAACTTCAAAACAGCGAAATTTTTTTCTCACTTTGCACTACAGCATTTTTACATCTTGTTATGACTAATATGCCTAAGCTTCCTCGACCTAACATGTTTGTTGGTCGTTGTTGTTGTTGTTGAATTGAGCAACACAGCATCATCAGCATTTTAGCTTGTAGGCACTTTCCAAACTAAACTCCTCCATTTTCCATATGAAGCAGACAAAAAAAAGTCGAAACAAACTAACAAACAAACAAAAAAGACTAGACTACTAAACCGGTAATGGATGCAATTCTCAGCCGAGAACTGTTCAGAACTCTCAATGAAGAATCAACAAAAAAGTCAGCTAGGATACAGAGGGGAAATTGCCTTACATACATATGCAGATGGATGGACAAGTATGTGTGGGTATTAGGGTGGTTTGAAAAAAAAAAATAAGTTTGTGTACATTTGATCAGATTAATCTATGAATATAGCATTTCTAGTAATTATATGAAGAAGAATATTATGAATTTGGAAAAGAAATAAAAATTAAGTATTTTTTACTACCAAATTTTTTTAATTAAAATGTGTCATCAAAAATTACTCAGAAACAAAATATATTTATGAGACTTATATTTTATTTCATAAAATCGATTTTTTTTTAATTTTCATTTCCAATTTTTCTCAAGAAAAATTCTTTAACCTAAAAAGGCCAGTTTCTTTTCCGGATTAAATCTCATTCTTATGTCTTACCATATTTTTCTTCTGAATTTAATAAAGGTCCACCCTAATATACATAACCCTTTTTCACTGAAAAAAAAAAAAAACAATGTTTCCTTTAGCACCCAAAAATTGCAAACATGCCGAGGAGATATCCTTAAAGCAAACATTGACTATGCAACGTTGACCATTCTCGAAAACAGAAATGTAAACACAAATGCCTAACGTATTTGCGCCATGGGCGTCGAAGATATTTCCTTGTTGGGCAAAAAAGATTTCAAGCCAAAGGAAATAGAAGAAATCTTGAAGGAAAATCGCAATATACGAAGGATATTGAACTTTTATCGTTTTGTAAAGCAATAAGAACTCTCATTAAGAACGTATTGCTAATTGATATCAGAGCATCAAATCTGAATAGTTTTTTTCTTAATTCTTTCATAGTTTCGAGTTCAGCTTCTTATGAATTACTATAAGGATTTATAGTCAGGAGATAGGATTCTTCACCATAATATGAGGGATATTAATTCGTACATATATACTTTTCAACATTTAATTCTAAAGGTATTCGATTTCAGTCTGCCTCTTAAAATCTAGTAGACCACTCATTGTTTTATGGAAATCTTTAAAATTTTCCATACAAATGTCACATGTGTACTATGCATTGAAAATCTATCCATTTCAGAGCACAAATTTGCTCGCTCGAGAGTGAAACTTGCTCGTGAGTAGGATTTGTTCCAGAGTGGGAGTTCTATATGAAATTTACTCTTTACTATTAAGAGTGTGGGAGCGCGAAGTCACTCCTTTTGAATATCGAAATCAAAAAAAAAAATGGTGAATTATGTTTATAACAGAAATTTCTAAATATATTAACTCAGCAGAATTTTGTCTATACAAAAGACAGAATTACAAAAAAAAACTCATGCTAAGTTCCACTCCCAATCATTTGGCCAAAATGGGCCTAACCGAAATAACGACCCTAGATCTCTTTGGATCAAATCCATATCAGGTTATTAGGAGTCGATCTAGCGATGTCCGACCGCCGTCTGTCTGTCGGGCGGGCGCACGATAACTCACGAAGGGTGTACCCAATTTGGTGCAAACTTGGTACATCGTAATATTATTACCAAACTTAGATCGAGTTCGCAGATGGCCAATATCGGCCAACTCCCCCAAAAATGGTCGAAATTATCAAAAAATATTTTACTGCACAGAAAGAGAAACGATAATCCGATTTTCTCTAACTTTGCAAATCCCAATATTTGTATCAGTGCTAGCTTAGCTGAGAAAGAGGACAATATCGGTAAACTGCATCAAGTATCTTATCCACAAAGGGTCAAAATTTAGAATAATTACAACTTTTACAAAATGTTATATAAGACTTCGATTGTCTGCAAATTACACACATCAATTTATTTTCTAAACCAAGGTCTGGTGTTAAGATGGAATATAATATATAAAAGATCGAAATTTTCAAAAAAAATATATATATTTTCTGCACAGAAATAGAATCCGATTTTGCTCTAACTTTGCAAATCCTAATATTTGCGTCAGTTCTAGGTCAGGTGCAAAAATGGATAATATCGGTCCACTCAATCAAGTACATCCCCCACAAAAGTTCGAAATTTTGAATATCTATGAAGCTCATAAAAAACAAATTAACATCCGATTCCATCCAGACTTGGAACATCTGAATATTTCTTTTTACACAGGATCTTTTGTAAAGAGTATAGATCGGACCATAGCATCTGGTAACTCCCCCACAAAGAGTGAAAGTTTTGAATAACCAAAACGTCAGTGAAAGCCGAAATAAGCACTAGGTTCTCTTTATATTTCACACATTCCATTATTTCTATTAACACAAGATCTGTTACGAAGATGGGATATATCGGTCCACTCCTTTTGGTACCTCCCCCACATAAGGTCAAAATTTTGAATACCCATGAAGCTCATAAAACGCGAAATTAACATCCGATTCGGTATATCTCAATATTTCCGTTAAAAAGATGGTTGAGATCGGACCCTTTCTTCTGGACGCACAAAGGAACCGAACTCTTCGAACTCCTTCTGGTATCTCACCCACAAAGGATCACAATTTCCATTACTTATATCTGTCATAACTTGCGAAAAAAATCAGCGATTCCTTACAACTTGATATGCCTAAATATTTCTCTCAACCAGAAATCTGGGATGAATATGAAATTTATCGGAATTTATGATTTCATAAAAATTATCACATATCTCATATAAAGTGAAGAAAGTAACTAATAAGTCCAAACCCGGCACGTCACAATATTTATATCATATTTATTTAGGTCCGATACGAAATAGAAAATATTGGTCTATTCCTTCTATCTTGTTAAAATTTTTGACCCTTTGTGGGGGAGTGGGGATGGAGTGGGGGTTTTCCATAGAAATGCTAAGAAATTTTTGAGAATTTTTAGAGATATCTTAAGTATCTCAACTTTCTTTTAATATTTTGATCCGAAGGAACTGCCAAAATTTCATGAATTCGAGAAAAAAGTTTTAAGATAAAATCAGGATTTTTGGCAAGATCTCAGTGCTTTCCTGATTTTTCTCTTCAATTCGCAACTCTTCATAGCTTTATTAAATATTTCAACTCTTTTCTCAAAAGTAATATGCTATTTTTAACAAATCCAACAACATATTCTCTAACCTACATTTCAAGATGCCTCTGGCCATTCTCTTTGAAAAAAAAAAAACATAAATTAAAAAATGCACACAAGTAAACATTGAGGAATTCAAAGGAAAGAGAAAAGAAACCTCTCCGAATGCATTCATTATTACTACACAAAAGCCAATTCAAACACCTACTCAGCAAATGTATCATCCTTTCTAATTAGCAAAAAAAAAAGGATGTTCTAATTGAAGATTACAAATAGCCGGAAGCTGTTCTCGTTGCATCAAAGAAAATGTCATAGTTTATGGTGGCAATAACTCTCATTTCGTTTTCAGTTTCTTTTTTTTTTTTTTCTTGCTGTAAAACTGTAAATTGCAAGAATTCTAAAAGAGGATATATGTGTCTTTGGCTTATTAACTTCTTTGTTTGTTGGGCAAGTTGGAAAGCTCCATGACAGGCAACAATGTGTTTTATGTCTCTCTGCCACCGATACGGCTTCTGCTTCTGTTGCTGTTGATTTTGATGTTGGTCTTATTTATGATTATTATTTATACATGTTTTTCTTGTTAATATTCCATTTTCATTCCAATTTGTTGTGGCCCGCACACGCACACACTCACACTCATTTAGGCAAGGATCCACAATCTGACAATGCCATCTATGTGGAGAATGACATATACACACACACACACATCCATCCATGTGTTCCAACGTGCTAGCTCACATTAATGCCACAATTCGTTAAACAAGATGTGACAGCTGTTGCAACATGTCCTTTTTAACTGATCACGTTCGTTGTTTGTTGTGTGCCTTCGACTCTGGGGTTTTGTTTGAGGGTGTGTGAGTGTGGGGATTGTATTTTGTTGTAGCAAAATTTTGTTGTTCGTTTTTTATTCTTTCTCAAATGATGTGGACAACTTACGGAGGACAGAGGTAGGTGTCTGTGTGTGTGTGTCTGATTGAGCTAGTTGCATGTTTAGATTTGGCATTCCTTCAACATGTTTATTTGTATCCTCTTCCCATTGAAAATTCAGTTTGAGAACCCTTGTAACAGTGGTTATCAAAACTAAGTTTTGTTGTGTGGGGTTCTCCTTATTTTTCCGATCCTTGTATATTATTTAAACACTTATGGACATATGTTAATGAGGAGTTGAAAAGGATTTCCTTTTTTTATGGATATCAATAGATTTCGGTTAGATCTAAAACGATTTGTTACACACATTTTTATGAGAATATTTTATAAAATATTAAATCAATGTTGTAAATGTGATTTGGAAGCATTTCCATCAAAAGATTGAATATTTGATAGGACTTTTGAGCATAAATTATGGAAACACGTGTTTCTAAGAGCTCTTTTATTTTATGGCAAAGTTTTGAGTGATATGTTTGATTGAATTAAAGGGTTTTCAATCACAAATGTTTTTTTTTTTTTTTTTTTTTTTTGAAATTTGGGAGTAAGGTGCGTATACGTAATGAGAAAGACTTTATCTTACTGATACGCCCGTGAGAACATGGCCT